TAGAAATATTCTAAAATGTGAAGAGTACAACCCCGGGGCACAAAATGACCCCAGGGCATACGGATAGGGTTAATATTCTTGATTGGACTTAAGATTCCCTTATTTATTTATTTTTCACTTTCCTACCTTTCCCATCCTCGAGAAGCAGTATTTTCACGCAAATTCCTTCTTTAGGTGGGCTTAATAAAAATATAACTAGCTACTATAATAATGAACATAGTCGTCCCAATTAGAATAAATACATTATAAATTTGATACAGTGTACGTTAGATCGATTTTTTGTACTTACCTCATATAATAAATTGTTGTTATTGTTATTAATATAACAGATTATAACAAATACGAACATTGTGTTCATTTATTTTATTCAGGATTATTGACTAGGATTATGCATTGTGAGGAATAGTGATATATAAAATGATTCAGGTCTGTTTTGTATTGTTTGTTTGTAGTTGTTTGTTTTTCTTTTTTTAATTAACAGCGTTAACTTGTAGCCTCGTCTCATAGTCCCAAATGCAACAGGCCTATGAACAAACCTCTGACGCTAGAAACTGTTCCGCTACCTGGCATACATCTTCCTTTTCTTTTCACGCATTCTGGTAAGTGAGGTGCATGTTCTTTAGTTGTTAGATTTTTGTCCTATTTTATGTCGAAAATGCTCTGATATTATAAAAGAATGCATTAACATTACAATGACTGTCACAAATGTGAATTACTTGGTGTATTTAAGTTCATTTTGTCAGCGATAACGATAATTTTGAATGGACAAATAGCAATGTGTCCCAGAAACCTATTATCGATATCTGTCTTTGCCACACCTATCTAATGATAATCGTTGATGACAATCATATTATTTTTTAGTTTCATCTAGATCTAGTTCCAGAGTAGTTCCACTTTTATTTAGATCTAGATCTAAAATCTAGTAATATTTGGCTTGCTTTTAACAGATTGGGGGTTTCACCGGTGCAGGGGGGGGGGGGGGTGCATGCCCCCTCTGAAGTGACTGAAGCCCCCCTGCATTTCACAATGACGTCAATGATTTGATGTTTTGGCAATATTAGGATTGCTTTTACTTTGAAAACAATTAATTTGCAAGGATTTTAGTGGCCATGCGTGTTCTGTAGCAAGCCCTCAAATCTGTGTGTGGGTTGGGTGCATGAGACATGCGACTAAACGTAGAATGGCAAACTGTTTAGGTAAGGCGGCCATCTTGTGTGTTGTCAGACGTGGATACCCCTCCGGTCACGTAACTACATGATCTAAACATAGCCTACTGTATGGCACTAAACATTATTTAGGCCTATACTTACCATGGCATGTTTTCGTGCAATGTTTTTCCAGGAGACATACGTGTCGTGTGGTTGATGTGGTGCTCCAATGATGCTGCTACTCATCCTTATCTCTTCTGTGCAGTGTTTATTTGCCGGGGGGGGGGGAGTAATCTCTCCAGGCGTCTGCAGCAATTTTCGCACGCTTTATTGTCTTTGCGCTAACCGTGTTTCAATTAGGCCTACAAGCATCAGCGTTTTTGGCCACCTCTATTCTCACCCGGAGTGAGAATAGTGCAGGCGAGTCTTGTGGCTATTCTCACCCGCTGCGCGTTCACCAAATTTTGCGTTCACCCTAAACCACAGAATTCTACACTGTGATAACAGAAAAATTGTAGAATTCTGTGCCGTGAACAAACGTTCCATTACAACTGTAGCCTACTAAAAGCGTACAATTTTGTCTGTGGGCAGTGGAGAGAAAGAGAGAGAGGAGTAGCGCGAGAATTTCCGGGCAAAACAAAATGGCGACCCGCGTAGTTCGGCTCGATTGGAAAAGTTAAATAGCCGTAGCATCTTTGTAGACAACCAAATTAATTTACTTTTGTGTTTTAGCATCATTTTTTAACTTTGTTTTGGTCAATTTGATCGTCCACACCGATAGACAGTATTCAGAAAGAGAGAGAGAAGAGGGGAGGAGTTGATCTTGCGAGAACTTCCGGGCGGGTGAGAATAGCCACTTTCACGTTTTTACTACTGTTCTGGCTCTGGGCATCAACGATCTAGGCGATCTTCCGTCACCAGAGCATGGCTGATGTGCTGTGGTTAGCAGCTAGAGGCTAGTGTGAAATTTTACCGTGCGGAACACATCGATACGGATCAAGCCTCTGAACCAACATGTTGTACCATGCGATATCTCCAAAGATCATGTAGTGTAGATTAGTAGAGAATCTTTGGTATCCCCAGTCTTCTAAAAAAAAGTCTGTGGGTATCCCAGGATGTAATGTGATGACATCACATTACTAAAATAAGCAGTGGCTTGGCATATTGTCCGTATCGATGTGTTTCGCATGGTCAAATTTCACACTTGCGGCTAACTTGCAGCCCGTCAGCCATGTGCAACTGATTGGTTACAAGGTTTCCGGTGTATATTAATGACATATTGGAATTTCGGTAGTGGTGTTTGAAATTGAAACATGGCAAAAACAATAAAACATGCGAAAATTGCTGTAAAGACATCGGAAGATTACAAACGATAAACAATGCGCAGGGATTAACAGCGACATCATCATAAAAATAATATAATATCACATTGCCGGTATTCCTGGAAAAAGACATTGCACTAAAGTGTCATGCCATCAAAGATTCTCTACAATATGGAGGAGGGACAAGCCCCCTTGCCTTTTTATAAACAAGTGAAATTTTACTGCTCATTTTGTGGGCTAGATCTACTGATAAGACATCGATGCAGAATATTTCAATCAGTATCGATATTCAGTACTTTGCAGTACATTTGTCTCCTTTCTTTTCTTTAGCCTCAGTCACATTCAACGAGAGGTCGAATCGAATCCAACAGGGACAGGCCGGTCCCGGCAACCTCGTTAAATGCGACACCCACTGTAGCGCCTTTTCGGGTTTTGAAAATCAAAGTTGCTAGCCGTACTTAGATCTAGGTTTGGCTCTATCGACTCAAACCTGTTGAGTACACAGGTCTCGTTAGATCTTGACCTAGTAATTATTCAGGTTTTAAATACATGCAAGTCAGTAAGGAACCTTTTGGTTTTGTCTGAAATACAAATACTTCAGGCATTGCAAACTAAAAATTTCATTTACAATTAAGCCATCAATAAGTACGGCTAACCTAGCGGTCTAGTCGTACTTAACCTGCCAGTCTAGCCGTACTTATCTTAGGCCCTCCTATTAGCATTAGAAAACAGGTCTCAAAAGTAATTATTCAGGTTTAAGATACATGCACTGACATGAAGGCACCTGGTTTCGTCTCAAATACAAAAACTTTAGGTTCTGCAAACTAAAGATTTATTTACAATTCAGTAGGCCTTTTTTTGGTCAGTCTAGCCATCATATTACAAATAAGTACGGCTAGCTCAGCTGTAAGTACGGTGCCTAACAGTCTAGCCGTCGATTGAGTATTAAGTACGGCTAGCCCCTTCCTTTAAAAAAAGTTTTTGCTTTTGTGCTGGACTGATGTGTGGTACAGTAAAAAAAAAAAAAAGAGAGAGAGAGAGAGACTGAAAAGAATTAATTTGTGAAGCAACGGTCATGAAAGTATATTTCTAATTTCAGGTCACGAGCTGATCAAAATGCAGATTTTTGTGAAGACACTCACAGGCAAGACGATCACCCTTGAGGTGGAACCGTCTGACACCATTGAAAATGTCAAGGCAAAGATTCAGGACAAAGAAGGTATGTGATGCATCACGCTTAATTTCTTGTGTAGGTGTTGCGCAGTCCCGGGGTGGCTGGAATCGTGTTTTTAAAAAATGTGCCTTTGCCCCTTT